GAGTGAACTTAAAACAATGCAAAAACTAGAAGAACAAGGCATAAAAATGAATTGGTTTTCATATGCGCAAATACATTCAAGGTATCTTATAGATTCTAAAGCGGAGGGATTTTATGATAAATTGACTGATCTAGACAGGATCTTGACAGGTACTGATGAAAAAATGATTTAAAAATTATACACTTATTTGTTGGAAATTTTATTAGAGGAGGAACAAGTTAAAGAAACGATGATTGTTTGGGGGAAGAATTTTGGATATGGGATTGATTTGGAGAATTGGGAAAAATTGTGGTCTCAAAACTATAAAATGACAATGTCAACAGCTTATAAAGAAAACTTGTATAAGATGTTTTACAGGTGGCATTTTCCCCCGACAAGAATTGCAAGAATGTTTAAGAACAAATCTGAAAAATGTTGGAAATGTCATCAGATACCTGGCTCATACTACCATATGTGGTGGACTTGTGAGGACGCTAGAAAATATTGGACTAAAATTCGCATATGGTTGGAAAAAATGACAAAGACACATATAGACTTGAAACCAGAGATTTTTTTATTGGGAATCTTACCTGATATATATAATAAAAATTTGAAGTATTTGATTGTAAATATATTAACAGCGGCTAGGATTGTATTTGCTAAGAACTGGAAGAGTGAGAAAACTCCATCAGAAGAAGAAATTATTAAGAAAATATTGGATTGTGCTGAAATGAGTAAATTGACATTTGAAATCAGAGAACAAGAAGATAAACAGTTCTGTGAAGTTTGGGATCTTTTTTATCAATGGTTAGATAATAAAACATAATGATAGAATATCCAGATTTAGCATAAAAAAATTTTTTTTTTCTTAATATTATCTTTATAAAACATTATTAAGGTAGATTTGGTATGATCTTATGATTTATTGCAAAATAAATTAAGCAAACTATAGTTATCTCGTTAAAATATGAATTAACAAAATTATAAATGATGTTTTTTAGTGATGATATTAGGTTATACAATTATTGATTGATAATATGAGCTATTATGTAATATAATTATACTAGTGACTAGGAAATGGATGCACAAAATAGTGGTAAACCAATCGATGCACTGTATGTAAATTCATGAAGAAGGATCTTTTTATGTTTTTTGTGGTATGTTTATGTTTATTTTGTTATGTATGTTTATGTTTATCTTGTTATTAAAAAATAAAAAAAAATTATTAAAAAAAAAGGAGCTGATTTTCTTGGAGTTGCATCAAGTTTACATCATTCTTTCTTCTTTGGATGAAACTTATGATGATTATGTGTCTTCACTGGAAGTTTTAAACAGAGATGAACTTACATTGACTGGCATAACTGGAAGACTGTTAGAAGAGTCAAGAAGAAGTCAAGATAGAAATCAACTGAGAGAAAGACAACCACAGGAAGAAAAACTGTCTTCAACTGCCTATATTGTTAGGAAATGTTTTTCTTGTGGGGCTAAAGGTCATATAGCCAGATACTGTAAAAAGGGTAAGAAACAGAATGCTATTAATATACAGAGAGATTATAAAGATGCTAGTTTAGCCATATCAAGTACAACTATAACTGTAAACCATGATATATGGGTAGTTGACAGTGGAGCATCACAGTGTATAACTAAAAGTAAAGAAAGGCTTGTTAACATGACAAAGAGTAAACAGCATGTATCATTGGCTAATGGATGGAAATTGAGAGCATCTGGAGAAGGTACTGCATATTGTTCATGTATTAATGAACGTTTACCAATGTTATATGTACCTAGACTGATACTTAACTTGCTATCTGTAAGAGCAATAGTAAAAGCAGGATTTGTTGTAACCTTTCAGGGAGATAAATGTTTAATTGAAAAACAGGGTAAAAGCGTTACTGCAAGATTTATTATACATGATAATCCATTAATGAATACTAACTCAGTTTATGAGAATAAAAAGCCTCATGATGAATGTATTCATCTGCTCCATAGACGTATGGGACATATAAATTTCAAAATGCTAAAGAAAACTGTTGAGTTATCTAATGGTATAAAATTAAAACCTTGTACAAAGTATTTAAATTGCAATGTTTGCAATCAAGAAAAAAGCAAGGTAACTCCTGCAAATAGGGTAAATGGATTCAAAACCAGTGAACCATTAGAGGTTGTTTTTGCTGATATTATTGGACCTAAGAAACCTAATTTAGGTGGAGCCTGTTACATATTAAGTATAACTGATCATTTTTCCAGATATGGTTTGTTATTTAATGAAAACGAAAATAGAAACATACCAGCATTTGGTAAACTGGCTAAAATTTGCTGAAAGGAAAAAAAAAACAGAGTTATTAGCTTAGTAACAGATAATGGTACTGAATTTACCAATAGTGTTACAGAAAGCTGACATCGAACATAAGCATTCTGCTCCTTATAACCATAACATAACTCATATATTGAACGTATAGGACAAACATTACAGGCTACGGCTAGGACTATGATTTCGGATTCTGGTTTATCAGAGAAACTTTGGAATGAAGCAATAATGTGTGCTAACCATGTTTTGAATAATGTAGTGAATTCAATGACTGGTGAATTACCATTTACTTGTTGGAATGGAAAAAAGCCAGATCTCAATCATTTACATACATTTGGAAACCCAGCATGGGGTCATATTCCCACGCAAATAAGGCAAAAGGGACAACGTAGAGTGAGAAAATTATATTTTGTAGGTTATGAAGCTAATCATAGATCATTTAGATTTTGGGAGCCAGGTACTACTGATGTATATTGCAGTGCAAGTGCTAGATTTCTGGAGCATGTTGGCTGGAGAAAGCTTGAAAAGGAATATAATAAGGTACAGGATAGTGTTGTTGTTGAGACTCCACTGTTTACCAATAATCCTAATGATAATAATATTGATGATAAGATGGTGGAGGAATCCTCAATGGAGGAATCCTCAATAGACGAGGATTTGATAGAGGAGGTAAAGGAAGAGGACATGCCAACAACATGTACTGAGTTGGAGGTCAACTAGGAGGTCAACTAGGGGGAGACATCCACCTGACAGATTTCAAGCAAGCACTGTATGTCAGGTTAATACAGAACCTTCTAACTTCAATGAAATAAAACTGTATCCTACAAAGGATCAGGTAGCTTGGCAGGAAGCTACGAATAGGGAGTTAAAATCGTTAAAGGATTTAGAGGTGTATGTGGATGTAAAGTTACCACCAGGCGAGTGTGCAATAGGTTGCAAATGGGTGTATAAGATAAAGACTGGTATGGATGGGACTATTACCCATAAAGCAAGATCGGTTGCTCAACGATTTGCTCAGTGAGATAAGGACTATCATGAAGTGTTTGCACCTAGTCTGAGAGCAAATACATTGAGAGCAGCATTGAGAGCAAAATTATAATATATAATTATTATATAATTATTCATAACTATTCTCATAAACGTTTCCATGTGCATATCCTTGTTACTCAAGGGTTATTCTGTACATATCATAACAAGTTTCAATGAAAGTAGTTTTTTACCTGCAAAATTGTTCAGGTCAAAGTGGGGCTGACCAACGGGCATAGGTGACTAGTACAAGTCACCATGTTATCAATGAGACATGACACCAAGGTGCTGAAAGTGCTGATTATATCATTCACCACGATACAAGTTACTTATCTCCCTTTGGGAATCTCAAAATCTGCAAGATGGCAAGCATGACATAGTGATAGAAGTTCTGCTCCTATCGTGCTTGTATGGCATCCCCACAGATATGCGGTTTTGAGCTCCCAGAATTCCCCAGTCAGCATATTCCTGTGACAGAGAAAAACTGTTCTAGCAAATGAATATTTAACCTTTTGGAACCCAAGAGGATCTCTTGTAGTCAAGACAAAAGTGTAATGAAACTTAAATATAATTGATTATATTTCTCACAAGTCACAGCTCAAATTATTTCTCCTTTCTATCACTATAAAAGCTACTGGGTAGCTCAGATGCACACCCCTGCCACAATACAACATCTTAATGCTTTCTGAGCATGATATCATAGATACAAAATTATTTCAACTCTTACCCATTGTTCTCAAGGGCCCCATATTGGGAAAACTTCCTTTAGGAACACAGCAACACCTGCCAAGGTCCCCAAAGACGTACCCTTTTCATCTACAGTTAAAAGGCCCTGGATACTCATCCTCCCTTAAGCATGAAAGCTAGCTGGGTGAATTCAGGCCAGTTATTTTCTCTCAGGCCTGGGGTTCCTGATCTAGTCTACCTTACATAATTTATGTATCTGTCCATGTAACCACTAGGTGTCAAGGCTGATTCAAAGCCCACCACCACAACAAGACAGAATAATTCAGAGACCCATCAGAAAAAACATGGACTTGCCATCACCAATTGAAGAATGACAGTTTGGTGTAGTAGTTAAAGCACCTGGCTAGAAAGCAAGAGAGCTCAAGTTCAAGTTCTGCCTTAGCCATGAAATCCAGCTGGTTGACCTTGGGCCAGTCACTCTCTCGGAGTCCAATTCATCTTATGAGCAATAAGCTGCCAAAAAAGCCAATGCAGTCCTGGGTTGCATCAACAGAGGAATAGCATGAAATCAAGAGAAGTGACAGTACTGTTTTATCCAGCAATAGTGAGGCCAAAATGGAATACCACATCAACTTATGGTCACCATGATACAAAAAAACATGTTGAAACCCTGGAAAGTGTGCAGAGAAGAGCAACAAGGACGATAAAGGCTTGGGAGGTAAATCAAATGATGAACAATTAAGGGAGCTAGGAATGTCCAACCTATGGAATAAAAGGATTAGGTGACAATTCTCTTCCAGTACTTGAAGGGCTGTCACAGAGAAGAGGGGGTTGATTTATTTTCCAAAGCACCAGAAGGCAGGACAAGAAGCAATGGATGGGAAGATCATTAAAGAGAGATCCAAGTTTGACCTAAGGAGAAATTTTCTGACAACGAGAACAATTAATCACATGGGAGGTAACACACATCTATCAGAGGAAGAAAACTCCACAAGCTTACCTCAAAGATCTGAAAATCTCTTGGATTAATGCTCTGCCGTGAGGCATGCTTCCATGGCACTCGGAAAAGTGTTTTTTCTGAGTTGAGCCAGGACACACCTGGGTATCGCTGGTTGTTCAATTGCTCTATCAGCCAGGGCACAAGGAGAGGCTTCTGAGTACCCATTGGAGATATACAGATGTGCTGTCAGTTCAAATCTGTGGGAAAAGAACTGAATCATAAACACAATGCACTGGGGAAATGTGGAAAAATGATCTTGGTGCATGGAGAAAAATTTTAGGCATGCAACATCCTGAACTGCTCATCGTGGGGTCCTTGGTCGTCTCTTAGCTTGGTTGTTTTCATGCTGAAATTTCATGAACAAACTATGTAACATCAGGGATGTGTACAGATGTGCATTGGTGATGTTACCTATTAGGGTAATGAAATGGCTGCAAAAATATCACCAAACTCTGAGAGCATGTGGACAGCTGCAAGGACCTCACAGCTACAATTATTCTCTTCTGTTTTTTGCAATCCCTTGCCATGAACGACTGCTTCCCCAATCTGCAGCTGTCCAGATGACTAAACCTTCCTGAATTTCACTGTCAGCAGGAGAACTGTAGTCCAAACACAAAGAGGACAATTGCTCGTGAAAAGCTCTAAGCAACAGCGAGTTTAGGCTGCTTCTCTACTCCTAAACAAGACGCTGATCCTCTTGCAATAACCTTTTCTCATTCACATTTTCCGGACATCTGAACAACCAACTCTCTCATTCATAGCTCTACTATTCTTGAAATAAATAAAAATAGATGGAATAGTTGCACAAACCTTTTGGCAACCTTCGGCCGCTTCCCGTCTGGAAGTGTGCAGGGGGAGAATTTACTTCGGAGTAAACGTCAGATTGCTCTGTAAATTTTGGAAAGACCACAATGAAGAATTGTTATTTGGTGGGCCTCGCGTATTTTGATTTCGGATCTGGAAGATGGAGAGTACTTGCGGGAGACTTCGGCACCTTTATCATCGGGGTAAAGACAGCTTGAACGCCTTCCCGAACTCCGAGGGCCCCCTCCCCAATAAAGTACTCACCTCTTTCTCTACGGGATCTCTTCTTCGATCGAGCGGTTAAAAAAAACAAAGAGGTTACAAGCTCCCCTCTCCCCGTCACACACAGTTTCGATTTCCTGGCCCAGAAACCTTCAATCGGGCACGCCTCCTCCCAGGGTTTTTTTTTCCCCTTACGTCTAAAGAAACCACCTATCAAGGAGGCAGTTTTTTCTTTTTTTTTTTCTTTTCCCTTTTTCTTTTAGGAAAGCAATATTTCGGTAGCCAGAAACCCGTGATGATAAAAATCTAAGAAATCGTGCCGATTGGAGTAGACGGAGACCTGGATAAACGTCATTTCCCGTTGCCAGTTTGGGGAAAGCTGTGAGAAATTGCCTAGGAATTTTAGGGCTTCTAGAATAACTCCCAAGTGTGAAATGGGTGCATAACGCTGCTAATTTTCTTCCCAAAGAAAACGAATAGCCACCTCTGCAACACTGCAAGGGGAGGTACTATCTTGCTAAAAAGAGTCTTGGAGGAGCCTGGACCACCTGCCTATCTGGATGTATATTTGGCCAAGCTAGCTGAGGCATTGCATGAGCACCTAATGGGCATCCGGGTGGGCAGCTAAAAGCAATACATGAGCAAGGATTAATACTGGTGGGTTCCTATTCTCATTTGAATGGCCTCAAAAGAACAGCTACTGGCAACCTCCATTGGGGTGCTGTCATATTCATGAAAGACCCTCCCACCTCCAGGATTCTGCAGGTGTCGTAATAGACCTGGGAATGACTTGGGTGAAGCCCCCACTTTCTAGTAGCAGTTTCTCCAAGGAAACACCAATTTTGTTAGTTGCTTCCACCTCATCTCTTCCCTCCATTGCACATTGCTCATGTATTCTTATAGTTAGTCCTCAACTTATGGCCACAATTGGAACTAGAATTTCCATTGCTAACCAAGGTAGTTATTAAACAAGTCATGCCTGATTGTATGATTTTTATTACTAGGCAAATCTGGCATCCCTTATTGATGTTGCTTAATCAGAAGCTCACTGAGAAGATCACAAATGATAACATGATCCAGAACACTGCAACCATTGAAAATACATGCAGGTTGCCAAGCACCCGAATTTTGATCACGTGACCATGGGGAGGGCTCTGATGGTCTTAAGGGGTGTGTGTGATTATAAGTCAGTTTTTGTCAGTAGTGTTGCCATTTAGGTTATAACTGAATTATAAGTCAATTATAATCCACTTAGGCTAAACAGTATGAATCCAGACATGGATTTTATAGACACTCATTTATGATTTATCATTTTTGTGAACCTTGCCAATGGTAAATGTCTATGGAGATTCTCAGTCCAGTTGCCTGTTGAAAAGCATCTTTGGGACTTGCCAAGTGCACTTCATTCAGAAAAAAATTTTTTTTTATGCAAAATAGTGTGCTATCTGAATATACAGGTGAAACTTGAAAAATTAGAATATCATGCAAAAGTTCGTTTATTTCAGTAATGCAACTTAAAAGGCGAAACTAATATATGAGATAGACTCATTACATGCAAAGCAAGATAGTTCAAGCCGTGATTTGTCATAATTGTGATGATTATGGCTTACAGCTCATGAAAACCCCAAATCCACAATCTCAGAAAATTAGAATATTACATGCAATCAATAAAACAAGGATTGTACATAAAACAATATTGGACCTCTGAAAAGTATGAGCATGCATATGTACTCAGGACTTGGTTTGAGCCCCTTTTGCAGCAATTACTGCCTCAATGCCGCATGGCATGTCAGCCTGTGGCACGGAAGCTGTCAGCCTGTGGCACTGCTGAGGTGTAATGGAAGACCAGGATGCTTCAGTTGTGGCCTTCAGCTCTTCTGCATTGTTTGGTCTCATGTCTCTCATCTTTCTCTTGGCAATGCCCCATAGATTCTCTATGGGATTCAGGTCAGGCAAGTTTGCTGGCCAATCAAGCACAGTAATCCCACGGTCATTGAACCAGGTTTTGGTGCTTGTGGTAGTGTGGGCAGGTGCCAAGTCCTGCTGGAAAATGAAGTCAGCATCCCCATAAAGCTCATCTGTGGAAGGAAGCATGAAGTGCTCCAAAATCTCCTGGTAGACGGCTGTGTTGACCCTGGACTTAATGAACCACAGTGGACCAAAACCAGCAGATGACATGGCTCCCCAAATCAACACAGACTGTGGAAACTTCACACTGGACTTCAAGCATCTTGCAGTGTGTGCCTCTCCATTCTTCCTCCAGACTCTGGGTCCTTGGTTTCCAAATGAGATGCAAAAGTTGCTCTCATCAGAAAAGAGGACTTTGGATCACTGAGCAACAGACCAGGTCTGTTTTTCTTTAGCCCAGGTAAGACGCTTTGACATTGTTTGTGGTTCAGGAGCGGCTTGACAAGACAAATATGATATTTGAAGCCCATTCCAGGATCTGTCTGTGTGTGGTGGCTCTTGATGCACTGACTCCAGCCTCAGTCCACTCCTTGTGAAAGTCCCCAACACTTTTGAATGGCCTTTTCTTGACAATCCTCTCCCGGCTGTGGTCATCTCTGCTGCTTGTGCACCTTTTTCTTCCACACTTTTCCCTTCCACATAACTTTCTATCAATGTGCTTTGATACAGCACTTTGGGAACATCCAACTTCTTCTGCAATTACCTTTTGAGGCTTTCCCTCCTTATGAAGGGTATCAATGATGATTTTCTGCACAACTGTCAGGTTAGCAGTCTTTCCCATGATTGTGATTCCTATTGAACCAGACTGAGAGACCATTTAAAGGCTCAGGAACCCTTTGCAGGTATTATGGCTTAATTAGCTGATTAGAGTGGGACACTTTGAACCTAAAATATTGAACCTTTTCACAATATTCTAATTTTCTGAGATTGTGGGTTTGGGGATTTCATGAGCTGTAAGCCATAATCATCTCAATTATGACACATCACACCTTGAACTATCTTGCTTTGCATGTAATTAGTCTATCTGATATATTAGGTTCACCTTTTAAGTTGCATTACTGAAATAATTGAACTTTTGCATGATATTCTAATTTTTCGAGTTTCACCTGTAGACACCAGCTTCATGCATTAGATTAAGTCATAATATATTTAACATGCTTGACCGTTTAATGTACTATGTTAACTCAGTTATGTTATGTCTTTGTATCATTGTTGAAAGGCTGTCAAAATGCCTTTCTTCTGAGGATTCGATTTTCCTGCTGGGAGAGCTCCGGTGCAAGGATACGGACAACTGCTTGAAAGCTGGATCTTTTTATTTTTCAGGAAGGCGAGAGATAGCAAGAAGTCTGCATTCCTGGGCTAGCTACCTTCGAATGGTAAGTCCCTGATTTTTATACCCTTTTCTCCTTTTGTGTGAGTGCTTGTGTTTGTATTTCTTAATGTTTTAAATCCTGTCAGGGGTTTGTCTTTCTTCCCGCCGGAGGGTAAACTCCGCGGGGTGCAGAAGGCAAACTTTGCAGGGTAGTTTGATTGGTTTATCGGTTTTGTCCTAATCTCTTTTAGCTTAATGGTTTTTTATATTTGTTTTGTGGCAATCTCCTGTCTGTCTCCTTTGCAATATATTTTGTGTCTTTTGTCTGTTTGTTTTGCTGATTTGGCATGTCTTGTGTTTGTAACGGTTTTCTTTTCCTGTTTCCCTAGTTTTCTTAATTATTTGGGCTTTTGTCTAAGGGGCTTCTTTAATACCTTTTATTTGATTCCTTTTCCTATGCAAGTTAGTTTTATGGCTGGCCTGATGTTCCCTTTAGGCTTTTCCTGCTTGGGTGACACCACCGTCCTTGTCAAGTTCCCTTTCCACAATCCTTCATATATTTTTTTTCTCTAGAGGGTGGTCTCTGATTGTATGTCTGGGTATACTTGGTATTCGTGATCAATCTGGATCATAATCATGGCTGCCTGTCTCCCTTTTAATTTTCTCCTTTGAGAGGGAATACAGGCCTTTAGGCAGCTGAGGCAGGGTGGTATGCATCGACAGAGGCAACACATGAGGGCTCCAAAGACAAAATTGGTGACTGTGGTTGTTATAAGGATTTTGAGCCAATGGAAATCTGGCATCCGTGAGAAGAGCCATGAAAAGTCCAGGAATGATTGCTCCTGACCAATATTCAGAGCTAGCTCTTTCAGGTGGTGGATGTCCCTCCCTACGAGTTCTGAGGTTTCATCCAGATTGAAGCAACACATCCCTTGGAATGTTTTGCAGCCATAATTATGCTTCAAGAGAAGGAAGTCTATTGCTGCCCTATTCTCCAAGGTGGCTTCTCTGACCTCCCTCAGTTCTCTGTTAAGGGCATCCAGGGCATGGGAGGTGGAATTCAAGCTTTTTTGCCAGGGTACATGCTAGTCTATTCAAATTTTTAGAATTTCGCACTGCCAATCCAGGTACCCCTATCAAGGATATTGCCAATGAGATGTATTCTGTTTTTCTGGGAAGGGGGACTTTGGAATCACAGTCTGAGTCTAGGGTTTGGAAGGCTCTCCTGTGTCGTCTCTGTAAGGATGGCATAAGCATGGTCAACCTTCCCAAGGTGCAGGGACCATTGGTGGCATTTGCAGGAAGGTATGAGTAGGCTTTTAAGCCACAAAGGAAAAACCACCCTGGTGGGAGCTTCAGGTAACTATATGAGAATGATATGGTCTCTGTAGTTGCATTTTAGTTCTGTGTTGCTAAGACTGGTGCATTCTGCGACCCTAGGTGTGCTGCACCCAGTGACATTAAAGCATTTCTCAGAGGTGGTTACTGCAGCAATGTGTAGGGGGTACATGGTGTGGTTTTTGTAGAATGGCCCCAGCTAAAAATGCTTTCGTAGGAGTCAGGAAGGTTTCTAAATGTGGTGTAGTTAATGATGTTATGTGGTCTAGTTGCTACTCCCATTAGGCATGTGGTTAAGATGTCCTTGACTGATTTCCCTCCTGCTAAGCAAAAGTTAGTGGTGTTGAGTATTTCTCTTGCTAAATATTCCCATACTTTTCCTTTCTCTAGGATAAGCTTTGGTTCCAGGAACGCAGTTGCTTGTGTTACAAGTGTTACAATTGTTACGAATAATAATACATAGTATATATTTCATGTTCCCCATTGCTAGATTCCTTTTCTTCCCTTCCTCCCCCACTTTTTAAAATAGCAATGTAAAAAAAAATGTAAAAAGTCAA